CCCCAACAGCTCGAGGCAAATACAAACCCATCTTCCAGTTTCAACTTCTCGTCGTCGAGTCAGTCTTGATCGACCAAGTGTGCAAAAGCTCGCGAGCAAACAACTAGATTTTCCGGGTGAATGGCCTCAGGAGGAGCAACGCCTGTCAGAAAAACTTGTCAGTCTTCAACTGCATTGTAGCTGTATGGACGCATGCGCACCACACACACACAGACACACGGGACCTCCAGGAATCGTGGCATGGCCGGAGTGCAAATCCGACGTGTTCGTGCCAAAAGAGATTGGCTCCTAATTGTATGTTAAATATCTTAGACCTTGATTGAAGCTGCCCAAAGGGCTGATGCCAATGGGCTGTTGAGAGCATGGGCAACAGGCTCACAGGCTCACAGAACGTCGTGCTTGATGCTTTGACGAAAGAGCTGGGCAGAGCAGATTGCAGGTCGAACAAGCTGGGGCTCAAGCTCATGCAGCAAACTGGCAAACAGCGATTCGGAGCTGTCTGCATGTTTTGGCAGGGCCGTCGGCCGTCTTTTCCGGGCACCTCGCGGCCTCACCCGGAGCGCGCCTATCTGATTCCAGAATTTCGGGATGAAATGCGAATCCCAGCGCGCTTCATAGATGCCTGAACAGATCCAAGAGCAAAACGATGTAGATCATCCGATCTTTCCAGTAAGCAGAATGGGCAAGCCATGCATGATTCCTGACAACAGCTCCTTGCCATCTTACCTTGAAACAATGGCAAAGCACGGCTACGAGCACGATGCACAGTTCCCACCTTTTATCCTTTCCATGACTTGCCATCAACCGGCCTGATCGGGCTTCCTTCCAAATTTTAAAGACACCCGGAGCTGCTTGTTGTTCATGCCTTTGCAACCCAACACAGGGTCGAAATTCGTTGACAAGTCCCAGAAGCCCCTGGCAGAACCAAAACTGTTTACCGACTCACCGAAGATGCGGAGCTTTGAATGGGCCCAACGTCAATGTATGCCACGGATCAATGCTCACGTCTCCACCTGTTCTACTGTCGGTTTGGGGAGGACATGGAGACTGCATTGCATCCAACTCCGACGAATGGCAAAATGAGCCTCCCTTCGCTTCGCCTGGCCTTGAGCTCCTCGTACGCTGAGCCCTGCATCTGCGCCAGCGCTTGGTTCAGGGCCTCCACCGGCAAGTTGGCGGCCGAGCGCTGGAAGGCCTTCCTGGCCAGGATCATCACCCGTTCCCAGTCCTGGCAAAAGTTCAATCGCGGTTCAACCGATTCCCATGAAAAGAATGGCAAGGACCCAATTTGGATGATGACAATCCTTAGGAAAACAAGGGTGGATATCTGAACCCCGAGTTGTTCTAATGGTGGTTTGAATCCCAGGGACGAAGCAAGGCTTGGGCGGCAGGTTCTTGGTTTGGCCAATGGGATGCTTGACATGCTGGAAACTTTCGGGTTGGTTCAAAGGCCCAGCCGCCAAGCCGCCCCGCCTGGCTGGCCACCATGCCGGGCAACATGGTGGCGATGGTCGTGTCATCCGGCTCGATGCCCTTCTGCTGCATCAGCTCAAAGGAGGCCCAGGCCTTGTCATACTTCTTGGTACGGAAGCAGCCGCTCATCAAACAGGTGTAGTGGATCACCTGGGCCACACTGCAAGCCCTTTCAACCTGCCCAGACCTGCCTGTTCTTTTCCTTTAGATTGCCTCTTCCTAGAGAGGCAGCCTCTGTTTAAAAAATGTCTCACTGTCGAATGTCTCATGTGAAAACATGTGAAAAAGAGACCCAAACCGAGGCGCTGAAGGCTTCCTGCCATGGACCGCCTCCCAGTTCTTGATCACCTCGAAGGCTTCCTCGTGAGCGCCACAGCGCCCCAGGAGCTTCAGCAAAGTGACCTGAACGCTCAGCGCTTTCCGACTCGGCTCTTTCCGGCGGATTGGTTCGGTGTTCTCTTTCTCTTTTGCCCTGTGTTCTCTTTTTTCACTGTTTCTCTCTCTCTCTCTCTCTCTCTCCTCTTTTTGTTTCTCTCTCTCTCTCTCCGTCCCTGTAGCGCGTTCCCCCGTGCTGGTTGCATCAGTGCATGCTTGCTTTTGCTAGCGGCGTCCTTAGGAGCCAGCCAGAAGCTAATTTTGTCTCGGGCAAATGTTACCGTTCGGGTCAAGCCGCGCTGTCTTTGAAGTGACCCCACCATGCCCCCATGTTAACGGTCGGGGCAAGCTGCGTTCCCTTTGAAGTGATCCCACCATGATGGATGTTTGTGCTCGGGCAGGTGTGATCTCACATCGCCAAAGGAAGCATTCTTTGCATGAACACACGAGGGACAGCGATTTGCATGTCTGCCTCTGGAGCTTGCTCTCTCAGAACTCCCGGGTTCCAAATAGCGCCTTACCTTTCTGTTGAATGCCTGCTGCCGTATGTATAACGTACAAATATAAACGTGTATATGGTAAATACCATATACACATGCGTACACATGTTACAACTGTACACATACACAAAGCGAGGTTGCTCGAATGTGTG